TTTTTTCTATTTATCTTAATTGAACTGTATTATAGAATGAATGCAGGAGTTTTTTCTATTTATCTTAATTGAACTGTATTATAGAATGAATGCAGGAGTTTTTTTTTTCTATTTATCTTAATTGAACTGTATTATAGAATGAATGCAGGAGTTTTTTTTCTATTTATCTTAATTGAACTGTATTATAGAATGAATGCAGGAGTTTTTTTTTCTATTTATCTTAATTGAACTGTATTATAGAATGAATGCGTTCCGTGAGCTAAAATACGTTTAGCAGCAATATTTGTACAACAAAACAATTCACATGAAAAGGAACATGTTCCGTGAGCTAAAGATACTTGAACCAGCATTGTTTGTATATACCAAACAGTTCACATGTCAAGGAAATGCTTCGGTAAGCTAATGATACGTAGACTAGCATTGTTTGTACAACAAAACAATTCACATGTCAAGGAACATTTTCAGTGAGCTAAAGATACGTGGACCAGCATTATTTGTACAACAAAACTAGAAAAGATAATTGTTTGTTTTTCTTCTTTAGTTACTGTTGTATGTTTTAAGGAAAGTAAGTTTAAGAACTTATTTCTAAGTAGCAATAATCTATATACATATATTTTCATAATTATGTTGAATACAGTGACAACTCATAATGTCCGAACCAGTTTCCTTCTTAGAAAATATTAATGGGAAAACAATCTGAAGAATTAACGGCTGTCTGTATTGGGTCGTTGTCAAATACACTTTATCTTATATTGTATTAGTAAAAATATATATAATCAAGTAAACTTTAATACCACAGTATTTTCTTTACTTACGAATGTAGTTCAATTAATGTGGAGCTATTTCAGCTGTTATCCAACCACACTATTTCCGGTTCAGTTTATCAAACACCCCATATGGATATGCTAACTTCCAGTTTGAGACTGGTTTATTAAACACAATATTCAAGGATTTGCCAGCTTTCTGTTAGGTTCATCGAACAAGACTAGTAAGAAGTTTGAGACTGGTTTATTAAACACAATATTTGAGGATTTGCCAACTTTCTGTTAGGTTCATCGAACAATGCTAGTAAGAAGTTTGAGTCTGGTTTATTAAACATAATATTCAGGGATTTGCCAACTTTCTGTTAGGTTCATCGAACAATGCTAGTAAGAAGTTTGAGTCTGGTTTATTAAACATAATATTCAAGGATTTGCCAACTTTCTGTTAGGTTCATCGAACAATGCTAGTAAGAAGTTTGAGTCTGGTTTATTAAACACAATATTCAAGGATATGCCAGCTTTCTGTTAGGTTCATCGAACAAGACTATTAGTAAGTAGTTTATATTTGAGTTTAACTTATTAAACACAGTACTTAAGATTTTCCAGCTTATGGTTCGTAACAAACAACACTACAGGTTTCTGGTTCATTTTATTAAACACCACCATCAAAGAATGTATTAATTACCGTCACACGTATCAATCAAAGTAATGCAACTGACGTACTTAATTCACAGTACACGTGAATTTAGTAATTTTTCGTAGAGTTTGAAAAACAAACCTACATGTGGATATTACAAATACAGTATTTACATCTTTCGTAACAAATAATATCATTATTATTACGATGGAATACAAATTCACAGAGCACTGCTAAACTGAGAAATGCATATTAAATATCTATATATATAATTTGTATAATGAGACAGGTTTTATAGACATCATGAACGATTTATTAGAAGAGCAAACAATTATATCAGACACCTGTAGAAAGATGTGTAATTCAGAATTTCACCTATAAGAAAAGTACCTTACCAAACATATCTAATGAAAAATATAACATCTAATTATTATAAATAGCGTCTGTAACTTTATATCAGTTCATACTCTAATAACCTCCGTAAGGCGACGTGGCATACTGTCGATGGGGTTATTGATCTGTTCCACTGTGATTTCATCCCAACTTGTCACTAGAAGGCGCTGAAACTCAGCTACAGTCGCTGGTTTAGGGTCATGGTTAGCAATTTTCCGGCTCAGTTCTTAAAATCTGGAGACTTTGCTGGCAATGGCAATCTTGTAACGTCCTCCTGGTCGAGATAATTTTGTACGATACATGCACTGTGGGCAGTGGCACTGCCATCCTGAAACACAAAGTCATTACCAAACCTTGCCCTAGAATATAGCAGAAATATTGTCTCCATGTGATGCCAGGCGTCATTGACGTTTCCCTGGAGGAGATGAAGAGCAGTTTTTCCAGCATGATGAATAGCTGCCCAAATATGTTCTGCACCACCTCCTGTGTATTCTCACATCTATTCTCCGCGTAAACGGCGAACACGAATCCTACCATTAGCTTTAACAAGCTGGAAACACGACTTATCCAAAAAGATGACATGTTGCCAGTGTCCTAACTATAAGTTGGCATGCTGTCTTGCCCAAGTAACACGGCGATGGTGTTAAGTGATGGTTAATATCTGTTTGCAGATAGCCCTTCTTGCGAAATAACCTTGTTTGGTCAGTCTCCTATTCAATGTTCTTCTGGATACCTTGGAATGAACGTGTTCATGCCATTCCTGTCGTAAGGTGTTCAAAGACTTCTTTCGACCTTGACGTGTTAACCTGTTCAAAACACGGTCACCTCGGGCAGTAGTTTTTTGGTGTCCACCAGTAGATTTTCCTGGAGCAACGTTTCCTGTAGTCCAATGACGTTTCAGGATTATGCGTACAGTACACTGGAGGAATCGTACAGTTCTGGCAATGTTCGTTTGCTTCTTACCATTTCTGGACAGTCGAACAATTTGACGCCCTATAACTTCTGGCACGTGACATGGAATGACTCTACATCAACTACAGTGAAATTGTCTTAACAAAGCGTTGATTTGTTTCGATAAAGATTATACCAAAAGCACACCCTTTTATACAAAACAGGTGTGTATGTATGTTTGACGAACAAAACAACTTATACAGACCAGAATAACAAGTCTTACATGCTTGTCCGATCATACACTATCTTCTCTGTGACTAATCGGGCATTTACACAATAATTACTCCAATCATGTAGACAAAAACATCATAGTACATCAAATCGTTTTTTGTACTGTTGACATACTTTCTTCATACTCAGGTCGGGCGTTGCCTGTTAATTAGTATGCCCAGACTTTGAAATGAGAGTTTATGGTACGCGTCCCGTTTCCATCAAAATGCAGTCCGCACTTTTGGGTTGTGGGTGCGCTATAAAGGTGACAGTCAGATGTCACTATTTGTCAACTATGGCCAAGACTTGACAAATGGCGCTGATGACTACCTACCTTTCCTCTACTCTATTAGTTCAAATTTAGGGTCAGCTATGTGCAAAAAATTCTAGAACTAACAAATCTTTATACTTTTTTTAAATTTCAATAGTAATACAGTCCAACGTTAGTTGTGGATGTAATACAACAATTGTAAAGGCTTACTTTACACAATTATCACGAACCAGTTACATTGAAACCTTTGTTTCGATCATAACGGGCATTTCAAATAAATTACAGACAGTTTTATTCTTGCCATTCCATTATGAAATAAAGAAGTTACAAGGACAAATAATTTCAAATTATTTATAAACTTTTTATACCGAATTGAATACATTCTTTCAAATTTTTCATGAAATCTGTTGAATTCAAAAGTTGAAAAAATTCTACAATATGATATCTCATTATTTTTCAACTTAAATTTTCTGTAATACATGACAGTAGTTGTTATAAATATATGAAAGAAAATTAAACCTATTTTATCGATTTATCATATATTACCTGTAACCTGAACAAATGTCAAATTTTAAAAGAAATATATTATATAAAATTAATTCTGTTGTTGTTGTTTGGGGGGAAGGGGATATTTGAAATAAAATGGCTAATTCCTAAATATTTACTATATTTGTGTTTTATTTATGTTAATTTAAAATCAACTTATTTTTGCCATAACAATAAATGCAGCTATAGCATGATAAAATCTGAAAACTCCACAATAATGCAAGTCGTTGTAATGGAAAAAGAATCACGTAGTCAACATTTCGACCAAACAGCCTCACCATTGTAGGTTACTTGGCTGAAATGATTACCACGTATTTTTCCCCCTTATACCTAATCACTTATTTGTATTTTTAGATTTTACAGTTAACACAGTGTATGTTTGAGAAGCCATTTGTATCAAAAAGAAGATAAACTTTGATCCCATTCTTGTGAACAAAAATAATTTTGCCCGAAAGGGATTAGTTTAGAAAATTTGTTTGTAGTTAAGCACAAAGCTACACAATGGGCTATCTGTGCTCTGCCCACCACAGGTATCGAAACCCGGTTTCTAGCATTGTACGTTCGCAGACATACCGCTGTGCCACTGGGGGGCAGTTTAGAAAAGAATGTCGCATCAGACCTATGATGATATTCGTTATCCTAAAGACCGTAACGTCGTAGTGAACAATACTGGTAATTACAGAGCGTTGAAGAAGAAAACACCAAAATATTGATAATTACATGCATGAATGAACTGACACCGACCGGATTTGAAAACATGCTACAAATGGAGTAGTGACACTCAAACCAAGACATATTCTTGGATTTTATATCGTCTTTAAATTAAGGCGACGTTACTTATTTAAGATATAGTTTAGTTTTATTACGCGCTTCTCTATGTCCGTTATACTAGTACCGTGAACAAACAGTTAGTGTTTGTGAAACTGCCTTAGGTATTGAAGGCTTAACTAGTGCCGTGAACAAACCGTTAGTAGTTGTGAAATCTACTACATGTGTATTGAAGGTTTAATGAAAGATACTGTGCGAATTTACTGAGAGATAAGCACGTTAATGTAACATGTTTGAGCCATATTTTTGACGTCAGTATGAGTTGTTCGAAATATCTGAGGTCAAGATTAACATAAAGTTTGTTTTCAAACGCTTTTATCACTGCCCAGAGTACTATATTAAAAATGTCAAATTAAAAATGTTTTATTGATAAACTATATTTTTCAAACTAAGACCAGAACATCTCTGTATAATGTGCATACACATTTGTCATTATTCCAAGCACGTTTAGGGTTAAAACTGCTCAAACGCAATGAAGGGTATTATTAAACATTCTCGGAAATACACGTTTTTCTTTATTCTGTCATGGAATATTTCAGTAAGACACTTTATAAAAGACACTGGAACCAGTCGTATTATATCACCTTGTGACGTAAAGATTGAGTGTAGTGATGTCTTTTTGAGCGCTGGAAGTTTGGTGGCTTCTAGACGATCTCTAAAACAAACAAAACAAAAATCATTTAGCATGTTCATATAGGAATTAATCCTCAATTTACTTTTACAAATTCTAATAGGTTGATAAAACTATCAACCATATCATATAAAATCTAAATGTGAATATACATGGATCAAATTCAACTATTGTAGGTTTTTTATTAATCGGTTTTAGTTTTCATTTCTCGTCGCTTTGTAAACAAAATGACGTCAAATATGACACGTATAAAGATTATATGAGTAATATCAATGTATATGCACAAGCATATTAATCATTTTGATATTTGTGCACATATGGCTACAATCACTGAATAAATAGAAAGATGTGGATTTGCGTTGATTAAGGAAAAAAAGGAAACGTGATCGAGAGAGGAGAAAAGACAGAAAACCATCTTTTAACACTTCCGTTATCCTAAGCATTTTGAAACGTTCACTGTGTTTTAATATTCTTGTTATAGGTTAAATTGTCCATCTATTAATCTATAAATAAGTTTGTCTATCCATTCCAATACATTATACCTTTTATATTTAGAATTTCGCTTCCTCTGTTAGTAAAGGAATATGTTTCTTAATGTATTTGAAAAAGAAAACCAATATTATTGTAAACTATATTAACGTACAGTATCAAATATTTAAGCGTCTAAGCCTAGAGTGCAAGTTCTGCAGAAGTTTATCTTTGATTCGACTCTAGAAAAAATATTTTAATCCTCTAAACGTTTATTTTTTCTTAACTTTTAAAAGTGAGTTTTATTTTTAACATTTAATCTTATGTTTAACTTTTGATTTAGCACTTTAAACGATAATTTTTATCTTTAATATATCATTTCTTACGGCTTCCTATTCGTTTGTTTGTAATTAAGCACAAAGCTACACAATAGGTTATTTGTATCGAAACCCGGATTCTAGCGTTGTAAGTCGTCCGCAGACATGCTGCTGTGCTACTGGGGGGCGCTTCCTATTCGACAGCGATTTTTCAAATCTTTATTATGTGAAACATTTTAAAAAAAAGCTGTTTAATAAGCTATTAATAACCAAATCACCAACAAAATTTGGCGTTGTTTGAGTCATTGTTGAATATTACTTTTACTTTGGAATTTTAGTTTTTATTGTTGTTTTCATTAAGTTCACTTGTTTTATGAAAAGATTTATCTTATTAAAACTCTAATAACGAAAAAAAAGTTATATGAGTGCTAAATGTCATAATAAGTTGTTTTTCGTACCAGTGAACTAAGGGAATATTTAAGGGGGGAAGAGTAGGTAAAGAGTAAATAAAGGAATATTTAAGGGGGAAAGAGTAGGTAAAGAGTAAATAAAGGAATATTTAAGGGGAAAGAGTAGGTAAAGAATAAATAAAGGAATATTTAAGGGGAAAGAGTAGGTAAAGAATAAATAAAGGAATATTTAAGGGGAAAGAGTAGGTAAAGAGTAAGTAAAGGAATATTTAAGGGGAAGAGTAGGTAAAGAGTTAATAAAGGAATATTTAAGGGGAAAGAGTAGGTAAAGAATAAATAAAGGAATATTTAAGGGGAAAGAGTAGGTAAAGAATAAATAAAGGAATATTTAAGGGGAAAGAGTAGGTAAAGAGTAAGTAAAGGAATATTTAAGGGGGAAGAGTAGGTAAAGAGTTAATAAAGGAATATTTAAGGGGAGAGTAAGTAAAGAGTATATAAAGGGATATTTAAGGGGAAAGAGTAGGTAAAGAGTAAATAAAGGAATATTTAAGGGGAAAGAGTAGGTAAAGAGTATATAAAGGAATATTTAAGGGGAAAGAGTAGGTAAATAGTAAATAAAGGAATATTTAAGGGGAAAGAGTAGGTAAAGAGTTAATAAAGGAATATTTAAGGGGAAAGCGTAGGTAAAGAGTTAATAAAGGAATATTTAAGGGGAAAGTGTAGGTAAAGAGTTAATAAAGGAATATTTAAGGGGAAAGAGTAGGTAAAGAGTAAGTAAAGGAATATTTAAGGGGCAAGAGTATGTAAAGAGTTAATAAAGGAATATTTAAGGGGAAAGAGTAGGTAAAGAGATAAAGGAATATTTGTTTGTTTGTTTGAAGTTAAGCACAAAGCAACACAATGAGCTATCTGTGCTCTGCCCACCACGGGTATCCGGATTCTAGCGTTGTAAGTCCGCAGACATACCGCTGTGCCACTGTGGGACTCCTCCCATTGTCTCATGACATTGTTTTTAAAAATGAACTTACCCATTAACTGTTGGAGTTTAATATAACCTAAAGTTATATTCACAAACCTTGACGATGGTAACTGTGTTTCCAAACGAGTCGGATGAAACAACTATTAAAGCTCCTTTTTTTTTTTTCATTGTGCCAAAAAAAAGTTTTTATTATTTGTTTACTTTAATATATATTATATTATAGTCTAATAAAATACTTTAATTGACCTTGAAAGTTCAAAACCAAGATGGTGATATATTACTTTTTAAATACGTGAAACCCAAAGTCAGTAGATGGTATTAAACAAAAAAGTATCAATATGCCTTGCTTAAACAAGTATGATTATGTGGTAATCAACAGGTATCAATATATTGTATTAAACCGAGAATAACTATTTGGTGTTATAACAAAATTCAGTATGTAGCGTTGAAAAAACACCGATACGTTGTTGTAGAACAATCACCAGTGCGTTTATTACGTTGCACTTAAACAAATATAATCCAAGTAACAATATAAAACATAAAAGCCTTTTATAACAATGAAATACTAAAACTATGTATATCTTGTTCCAAACCAAGTCACACTGAGTAGTATTAAAAGGAATGTCACTAGGTGGTACTAAGAATATCAATATGCAGTACATTTGCAATTTTCGATATGTCATGCTAGAACGAGTTATATATATACACACACATGTCCCTAAACAATATTGATAATTTTGAATGTATGTGACGTTTTAATCTTCAAATAATCAAGTAATCTTATATAAATTGGTTTCATGACAACGTTGCTTTACACTTGTACATTTTAGTATTGTTAAAAGATCCAATAGTGCCAAATATATATATAAATTTACGTAACATTGCCGTTTTTATGGCTGTTTCACACACGCACTAACCATATTTAAGAAGCACATTATTATATTAATGTTTAAAATAACATTTAAATTTTTGTTACTTAGAGTTTAATAAATGTTGCACTGTAATTCCTAATACTGAGGCTTATATATCAAAAGCCTGCAGAAAATCTTCGAAAACACGGTTTATGTAAAACCGTCACTGTTGTATTTCACCGTTTGGGCTCGGATCGAATATTTTTGAGATGAGCATTGTACAACAGCCTTGTTTTGCTAATGCCAACAAAAGATTAATCTGAAATTACTTTAGTCATTATCCTAACGATGTATTGTCAGAAGATTTTCTTGAAACTCGCAAGGTAATAAAAACGTTCTACTGACGAAATAAAAGCGATAACATCAGAATCCATTATTATTTTTTTGTGACATCGAAAACAATAAAGCTTTCTACAAGGACATTTATAGACTTTTATTTGCCTCTTGTTGTTTTTTTAGCACAAAGCTATAAAATATGCTATCTGCGGTCTATCCACCACAGGGAATCTGACCTTAGATTTTACCCTTGTACTACCATAAATTTAACGCTGGCACAATTGGGGGGGGGGGACAAAGTTATAGAGTAATATGTATAAAATGATACTGTGGACAATCACTTATTTAGGTTGAAAATCCTAAACCTAACCTTTACGATTTGTCTGTGAATCAGCAAGAGAGAATGCCTTTCCGATATCAAAGTTTAAAAAACTTTAGACAATTATTTCGTTCAAGGTGATAGAGATATGAGAGCTTCGAATTGAATAATATCAAAATACTAGTGTTATTACAGCTAACTTTCAAAGCGGGATTAAAGTGTTTGGATCGAATCCGGACACTGATGATGAAAGCAGTTAAGGCATAATTATTATACCAACAAATGGCAATGTTGGTGGTTTTGTATTCAACTTTATGGACCTAAGCTCATCTTCAAAATTACTTTCAATTTTCTTTAGCTCTCCATACTTCGTCTGAATCATAACGTAGCCGAAAAGCTAAGATAAAAACCGTGATAAGAACAACCAAATTCATCATATGTCGATGGAGTTTTTACTTGTTTTTTAATGAATGCTGGTGTTTATAAAAATGTTTAGTCTCGTTGTCCATTATATATCTATCTGGATAATTAATATAGGCATTTACTGTACTTCCTTACCGTTCTTTTACTCTCAGCCAAGCAGAAAGTACAAAGTGAGCGAGAATCTGTACTAGAACCACAACTGGAACTCTCCGCTGTTACTTTCTCCAGGTGACATCGATACCTAAGGCAGGGTTGTTCGCTGAAATCACCACGTGCTCGGAACGATCGTACTGTGGCTAAATGGGCGATGTAGCTTGCTGCCAAACGTAAAGTTTCAATTTTTGAGAGTTTTCTGTCAGCAGGTTCTGTTGGAATTAGTGTTCTTAAAGTCGTAAATGCTGTGTTCACACTGTGGGTTCGATCACGTTCGCGAGCATTCGCGGCTTGTCTTTGCTTTCCAGTTTTTCTGCTGAAATCTCCTTCTTCTGAACTCGTATCAGTAGTTAACAAAGTGTCGGTATATGGCCCACGTGTTAGCTTACGTTTTTTTGCCGAAGAGAGCTCTAATAAATGTTCTGAGTAATTCAGTTCTTTGCCATAGTGTTCTCTCTCGTAATAAATGTGTTTTGATCGTTCTAAAGAATGCGAATTGTTTTTAGGCAGTTTCTCATAAAATCTTTGATTGAAGGTACTCAAAACATCAGATTTACTTTCTTCCACCTTCGTTACCATTCTGGTAATGAAACTTGAGCATCAGATTAAGGCGAAGCGAAAGACTTTCAAGTCCACGTAGTTAAGAAAACCTGAAGCTCTAGTAATAGATAAAGATTTGCCTTGTATCTTGCTAAAAACTAATATAATTCTGTGTTTTTTAACCCGTTTATGACGCTTGTTTTCGTGCTAAACAAACTACAGCTTGTATCAAAACTGCTCACTCTAATCACAGAACAAAAAGATG